TGGGGCAAGCCTTGGGGCAAGCCCAATCGGACAGACTCTCATGTCTTTGTTGATATTGGCCTTCACATATTTATGTACATGCATGTATATATATAGATGTACATATATACATATATGTACATGTGTATCATAGTGCATATATGTACATGTATACAACTATATATATATTACACGTCCATGTATATAACAATAATTGTATTATTGTTATTAATAATCATAACAATAATAATATTAGTAATAATCATATATATATACACATATCTATACGTACATGAATATAAGAACAATAATGACAATAATAGTAATGAAAATAACACTACTACTAATAATAGTAATGATGAACAAATAAATAATAGTAATAGCAATAGCAATAGTAATAGTAATAGTAATAGTAATAGTAATAGTAATAGTAGTGATAATTATAACAATAGTAATACTAATAATTGTATATATATATACATAATTATACATATGTGGATATCTCCTCAGTTTGAGAGCTTGTAGTCAGTTGTAACCAGTTGTGGCCGTGACAGTTACATTCCGAAAGTTGTCTAGCTGAGGATCAGCTAAATGGAGGCGCTGGGAATGTGCCACAAGTGGTTGAAGGAAATATCACTATGGTGGATAAACATGAATCTTTTGACAATCAGGACAAAAATAGATGTTCACTTTGTATTGGAAAATCAATCTACTTCTAATGGTTATATGAGAGGTATGAGTGAGTGTCTCCACCCGTCGATGGGGAGATGAGCGAAAGAACATGGTTGGATCAATCGACCTATCAGTCGCTGGTCACTTGCAGCGTTTGAATCCTCATCATTTTCTCGTTTTTAGGTACCCTCCGTCAAGCAAACATGGCAATTGGAAATCCCCTATAAATGGAGGTGTTAATGGGATAATCATCATTACCAGAGGGTAAATGATTTGAGCCCATCATCTCATCCAAAAGAAATGGGATGTAACGAAGCGTATCCTTTAGCCAATCGAAATGAAAAAGGCACCTGGATCACAGGTTCAGTGTGCATTTCGTTTGAGATCCATCTGCACTTGCAACGCATCAGAGGGGGATTTGCCTGTCTGAAAATTGGCAATGGGCCGTCGCAAAGTTTACCCTGCCAAAAAATGGAGGTTTTCGGGAATCTTGTACCGGCCATACCCTCTGGTAAACTAACATAACTATGGAAAATCACCATTTTTCATGGGTAAATCAACTATTTCGACTGGGCCATTTTCAATAGCTATCTTTGTTTACCACTATAAATGGCCATTTTCAATAGCAAACTGTTAAATTACCAGAGGGTAAATAGGAATTGGACCCACCTTTGGAAACTTTGGAACCACAGGGATGGTGTCACCTCGCCCATGGATGCCAGGGGAAGCGTCCCGGCGTGAGGAGCTTGGAAATGGTGACCGCTTTAAGGATCGCTGCAGTCATAAAGCAACCTCCAAACAGATCGAAAAGTTGAGGTAAAAGCCTACTAAAATAGTGACACATTACATCAAATTACTTTCTTTCTTTTTTGGGATCACTGTAAGCTAATTGTCAAGTAAATAGTTCTTTTTAAGGTTTTAAAGGATCACAACCCTATTTTTGCGCAGGGTAAGTGGGGCCCAGCGAACTTCAGAGGATGGGTTGCTTGCCAGCTTGGAACCTCAATCTATGAAACAAATCCCTCTTCATCCTGCCGATTCGACCCTGTGGTAACCAAACATGAAATGCGCGACATCCAAGCTTTAGGAGATCAGTCATCAATGAAGATCTGGACAATGCAGGGGTTCAGCTCGACACAAACTGTGTCGAGGCGTCTTGCCAAATCCTCCAGGTGGGTTCCGGTGTGGAAAGGCTGAAACAAGAACCCTTGCTGCCAAAAAGCTGACGGCGGGGAGTTGAGCCCCCACTAGTTGCATGCGCTCGGGAAGAGTAACAAGACTGCACTGGAACATCTGAAACTTGGAAGTGGCACTTTAGGGATGACCGCCCCATGACATGATGGATCTTGGCGAAACTGGGATGGGGAGGTGTCCTAGATGGCCGCCCAGAGGCTGGAGGGGTGAAAAATGGGATTTCCCGCATCGCAGATGGCCAGCGCTCCAGTTGTGTATTGCACATTGGTGGAAAGTCTTCAAAGTCTTCACAGAGTCATACAGAGTCTCCAGGTGACGAAGCCCTTTTTTGAGGCTGCCTATTGGCCTATTGGCCTATGTATGTGACGAACTGTGACGAACTGCAAACCCGCAGCATGTGGCTCAACCTGCATGGAAATGGGCTTTGGGCAGCCCCTAATGCCCTTTCCTCTACTTCCCACGTCTGGGGTCCTGGACTTTCCGGGGCCATAGCCATGAACCGTGGAAGACCGTGCACACAAAATCAACAAATGGTTTCAGTCTTTCCTGTTTTGCTGATGACATCAGACAATTTGACTCTTTTTTCCAGTAAGAATCTGGGCCACAAAAGATGCATGATTTAGTTCTGAGTCCAGCAAGAACATGAAAATCCTCCCGAGTCTTGCATTGTTGGTATTTTACTTGGGCATCACATCTTGTTTTGCCAAACATCTCATGGCTCTGGGGGACAGCGAATGGAAAACCTCTCGTCCAACTGAGATTTTCTTTGCACGTGTAATGTTCTCGGAGGGTTTTCCTTTTTGCAGACCATGTTTCACACACTTTTCCATGACCCACAGGCGATTTTCAGTTTGATCTGGTAATTGTGCCTATTTTCTAGGGGTAACACTGATCTTGACCCAAGGTTCAGTTGGTTTCCCCACAGTTTGCTGGTTTGCGAGAAGATGCGCGTCGTCAAGACCCCGAATATTTCAGGAATCTGGAACTTGTTGATGAAGAGCTACAAAGCTGTTCAAGCAGCCGAGATGATGAGGACACAGGGGGCCCAGGAGACCCAGGGGCCTGAGACCAGTGCCATAAGCACTAAAGACCATGGTTTTGGCTACACTACACCAGGTTGCTGATTTCCCACTGGTTTGTTTCACCAAGGGCACTCCATTGAAGAACCAGAGAATCGATGTAGAATCGATGTACATATATATATATATATAATATAGTAAGATATAATATATATATACGATATATAGTAGTATATATAAAATTATATAAAATATAGTTATATATAAAATATAATTATATATATATATATAATCTAATATAATAATATATATATAATATTATTTTTAAATATGCAATACATACATAATAAATGACTAGGTGACAACTAGGTCCCTACATCTTCACGATTTTCCATATTTTATGCCATGGCTACACCCATCACATCCGGTCAGGACTGGGACTCACTAGCCCGGAGCCATAGAGACTGGGAACAAACTCTGTGACTTCGCGTGCAGATTCTGTAAATGATGGTTGATGTATGTTGATGTTGACTAAAAAAACGTTTGATGTGTAACAATCAACCAGCAAAACATGATAAAACATGGATTGTTACACATTTACCGTGGTTTCTCACTTAAAGTACACATTTGTCGATGAAATCCTCACGTAAGTCGGATTTCCTGGCAGAACATTTGTGGTTGAATCCCCGGTGAATGAATCACTGGCAAAAACCGTGGTAGTTTCCTGATGCTGCTGCAAAATCCCATGGGTGCGGAAGGTTCTTCTCCCATTTTATGGTTGTGGTTTTCCCTTGGAGAACTCATGAGAACTCCAAATTTTCAGATATCTGGGTGAGTTATCCGCGTAACAACTCCAGAAATTAACATGAAATAGCCTGAAATAGCCATATTTTCCCCGTTTTCCAATCGACAAAAGTTCCGTCCATCTTTGACCGCCCGCTGGTCACCGAGGACACGGCCGAAGGCGGTCCTTCACAGGTGGGAAACATTCACGGTGAAGTTTCAGAACTTCCTTGGGGTAAATCTTTAACATATATATATATATACACATTATGTATATATATATACACACACACACTCGTGCGTATATGTATATATATATATATATACATGTGTAGGCCGGTGATCGGCTCACATTGGTTGGCCGGCAGGAAAGAGAAGGTAGCCCCTGTGGACCGGACTCACCACAAGAGGCGCGGCATCGGGAATGGGATGTCGAAAAAAAAGGGCAGTTTATTTTCAGACAAAGCCGAGATGTTGTGGCCCCGAAGACTGCTGGAGCCCAGAAGTGATGACAGGTGGATGGTGAGATCTCTGGAAAGATGTTCCATGCAAGAGCGGGGGAGCTTGGAATATGCTTCTCTTTGGTGCACGGTGAAGCCACTAGAAATCTTGGCAATTCCGTGCGCCCTTGGGTGGGAATTCCGTCAACAAGATCAACATGAATCATCGCAATCCTTTTCAGATCTGGTAGATATTTTCTTAGGAACTGAAGCAGTTGGATTTTTGATTTCAACTCAAATTCCACAGAAGAACATCCCCTTACAGAACGACAAGAAGTGATGGGGATAAACTTCCTTGCAAGCAATGTTCCTTGAAACCAATCTCAAGCTGGAACTGCACAAGAATCGGTGTTTTTTTCATGACCTGCAGGACATTTCGCCCCAAACGCGCAAAATGCTTCGTGCTGTGGCTGAGCCATAAATCGCACATTGAACAACTTCTTGTACCTAGCGACTTTGAAAGAACGATCCCCCAAATCTTGAATTCAGCAACTGGGGATAGGGCAGATGGACTCGCCAGTTTTAGGATCCTAAGCCATCCCGTTTTCCTCCATTTTGGGGGACCCAAGTGTGACCCATACCCGAAGCTCAAGTTTGCTTGATGTAGCATGGACCATGATAGCCTCAGTCCGAAAGTCCTGAAGGGGTTTGTAGGTCCCAAGTGCAGGACTCTTCAGAAGACAATGACTCTGGACTCTTCTTGGAAATTGGCTCCAAACCTGTGGCGATTTGCTTCAAAATTCCAAAGGCCCAAGCAATCTGCGAGACCACGTCCTTGGATTTTATCACCATCCATATCCCGAGATTTTTTCACTCCTGCGAATTTGCTGGTGGCATATTCGTTATCATCCAGGGGGTATATCCCCACTTATTGATGGGCCATGGATGGGCAGCAGCTGCGTGACTTTCTATGTTTCCGCGACTTGGAAGAGAACTGCTGGCGATGCTGTGCTGGAGTGGTTTTGATTTTGACCTTGGATGCTGATTTCGACGTTGGCTTAGATTTGGATTTGGATGATTATCTTTATTTATTTTGATTTTGAGTTTAATGTCCTTTTTGATTTTGGTTTGGGTTTTGATGATGATGATGACGACGATGACGATGACGATGATCTCGAAATTTAGATTGTCTTTGCCGAAACTTACCATCATTTTGAAAGTTATCAAAGGACAATTTAGAGGAATTCCCAATGTTCAGTGGTAAAAAACAATGGTTTCCTGATTTCCCTCAGCGCAACCTTGTGAATCATTTTCTCCCCAAAACTGACGCTTACTGTTATAGATATATTGCAGAGGCTTATACAGTATACATATACATATTATTTGCGTACATATACATGTACGGATACACACACACATGTAAATACAGTACAACATACATATTTCTATACGTATATATATATATATATATGTGTAATATGTATGTATGTAATGTAATGTAATGTAATGTAATGTAATGTAATGTAATGTAATGTATGTATGTATGTATGTATATATGTATACATATATATATATATATGTATACACATAATCCCACAGATGAAGATCTTTTTGTCCCAGCAGGTCCTAACCAAGGGCTTGTTTCGACCAGGCTTCCTGGGCGTGGTCGAGTTATGCACTGTAGAGGCCACGAAGAGAAGCTGGAGCCAATTAGCCAAGGAGGCCACGCCTGGAACGGGGGATCTACCGGAAAATCATGGAAAATCTCAACGTTTTCATGGGAAACTAAGGGATGAATATCTAGAATTTCTGGGTGACAAGCATTGAGAATCTCTGATTTAGGAGGATAATGATCTCTAATTTATGGGTGAGAATCTAAGAGTTATAGGCTATAACAGTTCTAGGATCATCATAATCATTTATAGTAACCTCCAAAAAGATTCAGGGCAGGTGTATTTTTGGGGATCTGTGGTCATTCAATGCTTGGATGGTTATCTGAAGGTAGCTGGCATATTCAGATGGCCTTGTCAGCCGATTTTACAGCTTGGATATTTATGGGATACGCCCCAGTTATATATGCATATGTAGATAGAGATGATAGAGGATGTATGGATAGATAGGTAGGTAGATAGATCGATGGATATGAGAGGATGGATTGGATTTTATTGGATTGGGTTGGATTGGATAGGATAGGATAAGATAAATGGATGGATGGATGGGTGGATAGATAGATCTGTGTGCACAAGATAGATCTGTGTGCACATCTGCATATATACACATACATAGATACGCAGCTTCTTCACCGCTTACTCGCTGACATGCACATCCAAGCAGGTGGTTGAATACACTTTTCAGTTTCAGCCTGTTTCTCTCTCTCTCTCTCTGTTTTTTATGCTTGTGAATATATGTATATGTATATATATATGTATATGTATATGTACAATTACAATATTCATATCCATGTGTATACGGAGGTGCCAGCACCTTCGTTTTTTTCGATCATTTCTGGACCGAACCAGGATGCCTTGTGGTTGGAGCTCTGCCGAGACCTTTGGTGCAGAAAAGTGCAGCGCTATCGCTTGACGAAGCAACGACAAAGCGAGTTGCAGGGATCTGCCCCTGGGACGGCGGCGTTTTTTTAGGCCCTGACTTGGGTTTTTCGTGGTGAATAAGGGTTGCAAAAATGGCATAAATGGCATAAACAACTTATTGGAGGGGTCACTACTAAGTGTTCACTGGGTTGAATCTCCATGACTCTGGTTCCGTTTCCGAGGGGATGATCAATCAGCAGACTAGCGCTGAAGGGGTCGATGGCTCAAAATACACGAATCATTATGTCATGCATACACACACGTATATGCATGTCAGTATGTAATAGATGTCCATCTAATCTAATCTAATCTAACTTAATTTAAATCAAATCTAATCTGTTGTACTCTACTTTACTCTATTCTATTCTATTCTATGCGATTCCATTCAATTCAATTCAACTCCTACTCCTACTCCTACTCTTTTCTCTTCTCTTCCATTCCTTTCCATTCCATCCTATTCTAATCGCCAACATAATCCAATCCAATCTACTTTACTCTAATCTTATATTGTTGTATATTATCCAATCTTATCTTATCCTCTCCTCTCCTCCTCTCCTATCTATCCATGTATCCCAGTGCAGACAAAAGATATTCGTATCGCCTGAAATGGCGGTAGAATCCTGACATCTTACCGTCTTCCGTCCGAGGCAAGCTGGAAGGAGCTTTACAGGCGGATCATGGGATCCACAGACTTTGATCATGTTGGATCCGTCAGAATTTCGGGTGCTAAAAATGGATTTGTCATCAGTATATCCCTACTGCGGATGGGCCAGCGAAATCCTGCACCAGTTGAACACTGTGGTAAACATCCCATTATTTATAGGGTTTCAACCATCCAAGTGGTGCAGGATTTCTTAACCACCCACCGTACGAGCCTGGTCATTCTGCAGACCGAAAATTGACGTGGCGATGTCGGGGATCGCACCAGGCAACACTTGGAAGATGGCAGACGTGCCGCTTCTGAATTGGTCGTGTTCCAGTCTTACGGGGTGCTGCGGAAAAGGACCTTTTGGCTCAGTACTGAAATGAAATAAAGGTGATAAAAGGTGAAGTCATTCAACATTGACCTCACCCCCAAAAAAAGAGAGTTTGGAAGATGATTTTGGGTTGAATCCGCCAAGCAGCTGACCACATTTTGGGTCCATGGCCACAGGGTAGCCATTGGTTTGGCCCATACCCACATGTAAACGATATGAATGCAGTTAATATATCTTAGTTTGGTGTAGTGTTTATTGTGTGTAAACATATATATATATATACTGTATATACTGAATAAATATCTATACATGATGTATATAGAAAGATGTAGATATAGATAGTGATAGCACAGCACATAGTACACAATATAGCCATACATACATTTACATTACATTACATTTACATTTACATTTACATTTACATTACATTACATTGCATACCATACATACATACATCCATGCATGCACGCACGCACGCACGCAGACATACATACATGCATGCATGCATACATACACACAAACATACATTACATTACATTACATTACATTTACATTCCATTGCATTGCACTGCATTGCATTACATTGCATTGCGTTGCATTGCATTGCATTGCGTTGCGTTGCGTTGCATTGCATTGCATTGCATTGCATGCATACATGCATACATACATACACACATACACACATACACACATACACACATACACACATACACACATACACACATACACACATACACACATACATACACACATACACACATACACACATACACACATACACACATACACACATACACACATACACACATACACACATACACACATACACACATACAGACATACACACATACATACATACATACATACATACATACATACATACATACATACATACATACATACATACATACATACATACATACATACATACATACATACATACACATACATACATACATACATACATACATACATACATACATACATACATACATACATACATACATACATACATACATACATACATACATACATACATGACACGCACACACACACACACACCCAACATATGTGTATGTACACATATATCTATACAGTATGCACCAGTAGTACCCGCACGAGGCGGGGCGGAAGTTGCCTTAGGGATATACTATAAGACCTTTCTCATCTATAGAACTTGCATGCGCCGTGCACCAGCCAGGCCCGTGCGTGCGTTTTTCTTTCGAAGCTGTTGCGCTGCAGTCCAAGAACATGGCCTGTGCGCGACCCCAGTGCAATAACGCCAAGCGAACATTTTCTTCACACTTCGCACTGCACTTTGCAAACGGAATTTTAAAAGGAAAATCACCAGCGCCAAAATTGATAAAATTTGCTCACAAATCACAATCGCAGCCTTGATGCAGCCACCCCAATACGATTTATATACAATGTCCAGCTGCAAAAGACAATAGTATTACGCGTGCAGCCGCGGCACTAAGCAACCTTGACGCAGCCATCCCGATGCGTTTTGCAGCAACACGAACCCATCCATGCAGCCATTACAATGCGATTTGCTTCCGCACGTTGCAGAACACCAAGGGAGAACCGATTGTGCTCGAAACGATCCAAACCGCACCCGCCGCACACACGAGGTACCATTCATCGCCGGCTGCAGCCACTTTACACGGAAAAACACAAGGTTTCGTGCTCCGGCTTCCTCCCCAAAACAAACCCCATGCAACAGTCATGCAGCCATTACAATGCGATTTGCATCCACACGTTGCAGAACACCAAGGGAGAACCGATTACCCTCGAAAGGGTCCAAGCTGCATTAGCGGCACACACGAGGTACCTTTCATCGCTGGCTGCAGCCACTTTACACGGAATAACACAAGGTTTCGTGCTCCGGCTTCCTCACCAAAACACACCCCATGCAACAGTCATGCAGCCATTACAATGCGTTTTGCAGCTACACGTACCCATCCATGCAGCTATTACAATGCGATTTGCATCCACACGTTGCAGAACACCAAGGGAGAACCGATTGTGCTCGAAACGATCCAAACCGCACCCGCCGCACACACGAGGTACTGTTCATCGGTGGGTGCAGCCACTTTACACGGAAAAACACAAGGTTTCGTGCTCCGGCTTCCTCCCCAAAACAAACCCCATGCAACAGTCATGCAGCCATTACAATGCGATTTGCATCCACACGTTGCAGAACACCAAGGGAGAACCGATTACCCTCGAAAGGGTCCAAGCTGCACCAGCGGCACACACGAGGTACCTTTCATCGCTGGCTGCAGCCACTTTACACGGAAAAACACAAGGTTTCGTGCCCCGGCTTCCTCCCCAAAACAAACCCCATGCAACAGTCATGCAGCCATTACAATGCGTTTTGCAGCTACACGTACCCATCCATGCAGCTATTACAATGCGATTTGCATCCACGCGTTGCAGAACACCAAGGGAGAACCGATTGTGCTCGAAACGATCCAAACCGCACCCGCCGCACACACGAGGTACTGTTCATCGGTGGGTGCAGCCACTTTACACGGAAAAACACAAGGTTTCGTGCTCCGGCTTCCTCCCCAAAACAAACCCCATGCAACAGTCATGCAGCCATTACAATGCGATTTGCATCCACACGTTGCAGAACATCAAGGGAGAACCGATTACCCTCGAAAGGGTCCAAGCTGCATTAGCGGCACACACGAGGTACCTTTCATCGCTGGCTGCAGCCACTTTACACGGAAAAACACAAGGTTTCGTGCCCCGGCTTCCTCCCCAAAACAAACCCCATGCAACAGTCATGCAGCCATTACAATGCGTTTTGCAGCTACACGTACCCATCCATCCAGTCATTACAATGCGATTTGCATCCCCGCTTCCCTAGGTCACCACTTCTGTTAGTCACCGCTTCCCTTCGGCACCACTTCCCGTCGTCATCACTTACCTAAGTCATCACTTCCCTTAGCTACCACTTCCCAAAGTCACCGCTTCCCTTAGTCACCACTTCCCTTAGTCACCACTTCTCTCTGATGTAAAGTCTCACACCACCCTTCGTTGATGTACTGTTATGTTCTGTAAAGTCTCACACCACCCTTCGTATTGTTATGTGATGTAAAAGTCTCACACCACCCTTCATGATGTATTGTTATGTGTAAAGTCTCACACCACCCTTCGTATTGTTATGTGATGTAAAGTCTCACACCACTCTCAATGTGATGTATTGTTATGTGATGTAGAGTCTCACACCACCCTTCGTGATGTATTGTTATGTGATGTAAAGTCTCACACCACCCTTCAATGTGATGTATTGTTATGTGATGTAGAGTCTCACACCACCCTTCGTGATGTATTGTTATATGATGTAAAGTCTCACACCACCCTTCAATGTGATGTATTGTTATGTGATGTAAAGTCTCACACCACCCTTTATCAGATGTAAAGTCTCACGATTCTATTTATCCGTAACTCGGAAGATTGCTTCCCAACTTCCGTTGATAATATATCTATTCACGGTATATATAATATATTTATACACTGTATATATGAGATATCTATACACTGCATATATATATAGAATATCTATACACTGTATATAAAATATATCTATACACTGTATATAAAATACTGTATATAAAATATACCTATACACTGTATATAAAATATATCTATACACTCTAGAATATACACACACACATATATATATAAATACATACACTGTATATATAACATATCTTTACACTGCATATATATATATATAGTGTATGTAAAAATAAATAAATATGTATATATATATATGTACTAATATGGAAATATTATATTGATCTTTACATAAGATACCAGACATAAAATAAAACCGACAGATATATGATATATGATATATGATATATGATATATATATATATATGTATAGTTTTTTACCCAACATAACTCACACACACACACACTGACGCAATATAGAATCGCTAATCCCTTGCTAATCCCTTCCCCCAAATCTTACACACCCCTCAGAAACCATGGTGTGGGGGATAAAACACATCTTTGGGACCATTAACCATGGGGGCGTTCAATATCTCCAATATGGGATCCCCAATTTAGATAAAATACCCCAACTATCCCAAGAACAGTGGAATTTTCACGGTAATCAAACATGGTTTGCTGGAAAATACCGCATTTATAGTTGATTTTCCCACAAAAACCTCCATTTACAGGGGATTTTCCAGCCAACCACCTTTGATGACACCGGAGGGTAACGTTCAAACCTAGGGGCTCAAGATGAGGTGTATGCATCACCCAGCAAGAGCTCACTGAGACCGTCTGGGATTTTACCTTCCGCTTCTTGGCCCATTTGGCATCTTGGCGCCGTGCCGGTAAGGGAAAAACTGGGGAGTAACCATTCAACAACAGGGAATGGCATTTTTATAGGACTTTCATGGGATTTCATGACGATCCTGCATTTTTAAATGTTACCCTGTTGGTTTACTTACCATTATGTGCTGTTGTGCTATCCTTTTTTTTTTTTCAAGGATTGAAATCCGTGAGCTGGGAAACCGGTTTTTGTCGAAACAGTATATTGGGAGGTTTGAACACTGTTCAACTGAGTTCATGTGGAGAAATCTTGGGATTTCATGCTGGATGATATGGGCTTCATGCTGAATATTTTCTGTTGGGATTATATGGCGAATCAAGACTATGGGATATCTATGTGGATTACTCTCTATCTCATTGATTCTCATAGGCGAATCAGATGGTGAACCGCTCCTCTTTTTGTTGCTCAGCCAAGTGGATTAACAGTACTTTTCCCGCAAGTGGATATAATCCACTTATAACCCACTTGCTGCTAAGTAGGATGAACCACCAAGTTGGTCGCTTGCTGCTGTCACTCATGATGTGACATGATCCAGCTGTTGGTTTGTAGCGGTGCTGGTGGTGGTAATAGCAGGTTTTTTCTTCCTCCCCTTTCAGAACTAGTAATGTGGTAAACGCAACATTTTGTTCATCCCTCGAATCGCCATAAATGGTTGGTATAAACCATTCCCAAATGATGGGTCTTCCCACATTAACATTAGTATGTTTTTGAAGAGAAAATTACTTCCCAGACACCAGCAATCGCTGCAGGTCTTGACTGATGCCAGCTATAGACATAAGGATCCATGTTTCTTGGGGCAATGTTTATTGCTTAGTACCTTCACATGTCCCAGAAACATGGCAAAACATACCAAGATCTAAGGGCACAATCTTCCAGTCTGTATACGTAGCAAACCAGATATCTAGCACATCATACATACTCTTAGTGAGTAAATTGAATAGGTTACCCGGATGATCATCCCCCTTAGAATTTCTGGTTAGTCAAGTGGGGCAGTCCCAGTTACACATGGGGCCCGGGAACGGGGACTGATCCAAGATGATTCACCTGAAACACACAAAAAGAAGAGGACCCCCAGGTTGAACGTTGGTCCATTACCCATCAAACTATATAAATCATGGGATTTGCCTAGTCATAAGCCAATCTAACTTGGCTGTCGTCTGGGGAATCTATCGTTTTTTAAAGTATCTATAAATCATCGAATTTCCCGACCAATTCTCGGACCTTGTTGTGGCACCTGTCATAAGGTTTGCACCCGCAGATCCGAGCCTCCTCGGCCTTCCGTTTCGAAGCTTCCGGGAATGCCTCTCAGCTCGGTCAAAGCGATTGGAATATGAATGAACATATGATGATTTAACCATAAGCTTAATTTGATGTTACAATAATGGGATATTACTGGGATATTTCCCCAAACAATGTGTTCACACTTGGGGTTCTTACGGTAGTAGTTAAGTTGGGTAAGGCCTGGTGTTGGTTCGAGGTGGTCTCCTGTGTGGGTCTGGCTAATTTGATGACCTTTGCAGCGCAAAAGTTCCTCGATCTTCCGTTTTCGAAGGAAGTCTCGCAGGAAACGTAGCCGGAGACCTCTCTTGCGGAGGTGTGTTCTCGCCTGCGTGCCGTGTCCATTTTTGGAGCTATGTTTTTTGTGGCAGGCGCAAGAGATTTGTCACGTTTGGAGGGCCAGAACCTCGTTTTTGCGTGACCGGCAACGGGGTTTCTCTGAAAATGGCGGGAAGTACTTGGGGGTAAACCTTCCATGTTTGGAAAACCACAATCATATTGTTCGTCACATACTTATTATATATCCTAGTTTTGGTTTGTTGAACTGTAATTTTTTAGAGTTAAATCCCAAATTTTGGACAAGACACGCATTCTGGGTCAACTATTGCCCCATTTTTTCCAGGATTTTTCTGGGGTCAATCTTAACTTTTTGTTGCTTAAACCCAACTTTTTGTTGCTTAAACCCAACCCCTTTGTTGGTCAACCCAACCGACAGAAATTGCACACTTGCCCAACTTGAGGTAGGTGGACACCCCAACGGCCTAACCTATCAGTGGTTCTTGAGCTGCTTGGCAACGGTTCTTGGCAACGGTTCTTGGCAAACTTTTTCACCCAAGACCCACGCAGATTTCATGGGGATTTTGTGGGATAATATTGTGGATACAAGGGTATATATATATATATACGTGTATATGTATGTATAAGCAGATATTGATATTACCAACCCTTGATATGATACTTGGATGTGTCTGAAAACGGGGTACGCTACCAAATTATGGCCATCATACAGTAGGAACAAGTATGATTAACCACTGGTGTTCTTTCCAGACAAACCCAGATGTGCCAGATTTGGGGACCCCAAGAAACCTGAGTTGGTGATATCCCTGCCTGTGCTGAGTAGATCCTAATTTTCCGAATGTTTGTTTTGTTGTCTCGTTTATATCCCGAATTCTTGATTCTGAATGTTTACATTTTCATGTTCATTTTAGATTCTGAATACCACATTCATGTTTGATTCTGAATGGTCAAACATGAAAATCGTAATATCCCTCACGACCATCTCCATCACTGCAGGTGCTGATGGTTCACGCGTGGAGTTGGGTCAGTTTCCCCAAGCCAAAGTGCTGCGGCGGAAAGACTGGGGCTGGGCCATCTGCAACAGCAACGTGGTTTGTTGTAGCTGGGCAAAACATTGGGGCTGGGTGATCCATTGAAGAGATAAGCAGAGAAGATGAACGTCACCACGAAGTGGATTTTCATGGTTTTTGGGTTACTAGGAAGTGCATCGAAGATCCTGGCAAAATTGGGGTATGGTTTATGATTGGACTTCCTACAATGATATTGATTACCCTCTGGTAATTTAACATAGCTATGGAAAATCACCATGATTAATGGGAACATCCACTATAAATGGTCATTTTCAATAGCTATGTTAAATTACCAGAGGGTAAGCAACACGATTTTTTTCGGTTTGGGGTCTGGCCTGGCCTAAACTTTTAAAAAGGCCGACGCAAGTGGCCGATTTCGCTATGTTTAACTGGGATATATCTGAAGGTATATCCCACCCAGTTCTGAACCCCATTGATGGATGGCAATAGCTAGCGGGAAGAAAACAACAAAGGGAACAGCTGAGTGGGTTTGTTTGCAAATAGGTCACCCGAAATTTGATGGTTAATCATCATTTTCCCCATTAACATCAATAGCCATTTGAAGGTTAAAAATCATAAATTTGATGATTTAAGGTCCGTAAATCCATCATTTTCCCCCATTCCATGGCCATTTTTTGGGGTGCATAGCCCATCGCGGATCGACCTCTGCCAGGTTCTGTAGATCCTGAAGATCTGGAGCATGCCGCTGCCGTGGATCTTCACCCGGAACTGTTTTGCTTGGACTCTTTGGATCGATTGAGCCTGAAAAACGGGGATTTAGACCTGCCCAGTCGTTGAGAAGACAGATGGGCGGCATTGAAACCCAGAGGAATGGGTATTTCAACCGATATTTCCATGGTATTTCCACTGATACGCCCCATACACGTGGGGATTTGGACTGACTTGGGAGTTGACGGAGAAGACGTGAGAAGACGTGAGAAGACGTGAGAAGACGTGAGTGACTTTAGGGAGAATGAACCAGATGGTCATGGTGATTTTGACGCTCCGCAATTTTGGGAAGCATGGCTAGCTTGGAACTTGGGCTTAAGCTAGTTCTTCAGGTTTCTTGACTGAGGATGACCCCCAAGCAGGGTTGAGGCCTGTTTTGCGGAATGGATGCATACACACACATATATATATAATATATATATATATACATATATATATATATACTATAATATATATATACTATAATATATATATATGTATATATATATACATACACAGATATCGCACGTGTTTCTGTGCTCATTGATTCACTTTGACTGGGTCCATCGTGGTTTCAATCTGGGGTTGGCCCTTCCCTTCGTATATGAATGAAGCTGGATCCTCTTAACAGTCCCTTGCAATCCCATGCAATGGCGTGTCAAGATAATATGGGTATGGATTAAAATTGGACACCCCAAAATTTCATGTCTTTCGCCAAAAGAAGGCCCAGCAGTTGTGGTTCCCTGCCTTGGATGTGAACCCAAAGCCAAATGGTGATGGCTCCAAAATGGGTTGCCAAAGCCCAAGGGACTGGCAACTCGGTATTCAACCAATACTTTTGACCCAGATTTTGACTCTCATGCAGGCGAAGCTTGAGTCAGGGTCCAAAGTGTTGGTACTTTTCGATTTTTCTGTGTGCTTGACTGCTTTCCTTTCTGCTTTTTGTAAGGAACAACTGGGTCCTTCACTACAGTTGGTGCGGCCACTTGCCAGGTGAAGTTAGGGGGCAGGCCCAGCAAAGACTCCGCTGGCTTTAGGGGATCGTCAAGGAAGCTGCATCTCAAGCCATGGGGGATGGTCAACCCATCAGCAAGGTGGTGAATGGAGGGTTTTTACATGGAGGAAGATAGTACCCAGTTACCCAGTGAAAGATCAGCTGATCATCTCTTTTTTCGTCTCGAAGTTTAGGGATGAAAAGGTTGGATTCGCTTTCGTGTGACTCTTGGACTCTTGGATTATTTAAAACCTTGGCAGACTGATGGGGATCGATTTTTTGCTTATATGTCAATCTTCACCAGCGACGCACAGATCCAGTACCAACCTACAGTTGTTTTGGCGCGCGTCTATTCTTATGAAGGGGGCTGGGAAGAACTCTGTGTGCCGGGTTTGAACTTTGAAAGTAAGTATTTTGAGGTGAAGTATACGCATATAATCATTTGAATCTTTCTCCCCGCTGGTGATTGTCCTTTTTTCGAACCTGAAACTATCCAATTTTGCAACACAGTTCTTATACAAATGGTTGGAGAGGTTTCTAAGCATCCGTTCCTGGGATGATGCACCCCAAGTGACTGAGCGGATTTTTTGGACGGCTGAACCAAACGGGCTCGGGGGAAACCACACAGTCTTGGGCAGTTCTGCCGCATGGGAATAGACCTGAACGAGAAATACCTCCCAAAATGGACGGATGGAAACTCTGCTGAGCAGATCGCTGTCAGTTGCACGGCGGAGTGCCCCCCAAGAGTTCACCATGACGGGGATAATGCGGCTTTGGCACGCCTAGCTCAACCGCCAGTTATCCTGATGAACAACCATAGTCATATTCCGGAGCATCCCCAATCTGCCCAGTATTACATCCAATTTTAATTGTATTATATAACCATGGTCTAAATATTATTATCCCATCAATAATCAGGTTACGCTTACGTGGCGGTTTGGGTTGGTGGTTTGGAAGTCTGGGAAATCAGTGTTTTCAAAGTATTTTATTTTAATATAAAAGTGTATAATTTTAATGAAAAAAATAAACTAACTACTTAATAGTTTATTTCATAATTAAGTTATTAAATAATTCTATTTTCTTACTGACTAATTCATTGACTTTTCAATTTTATGATTTGTCTTTCAATAATTAGATTCTGGATGAGATGAGATAGATAGATTTATTAGATGGAAGGGATGGGATGGGATGAAATGCATGGATGAATGAATGGACTGGCATGGAATGGAATGGAATTGAATGAAATGGAATGAATGAATGAAATGAATGAATTAAATTAATGAATGCATGGATGGATGAATGAATGAATTAAATTAATGAATGCATGGATGGATGAATGAATGAATTAAATTAATGAATGCATGGATGGATGAATGAATGAATTAAATTAATGAATGCATGGATGGATGAATGAATGAATTAAATTAATGAATGCATGGATGGATGAATGAATGAATTAAATGGATGAATGCATGGATGGATGAATGAATGAATTAAATTAATGAATGCATGGATGGATGAATGAATGAATTAAATTAATGAATGCATGGATGAATGAACGAATGAATGAATGGAATGGAATTGTTTGTTATGAAATGAAATGACATCATCATGACATGACTGAATGAATAAATGGATGAATGAATGAATGAATGAAAGGAATGAAATGAATGACTGAATGAATGGACTGGCATGGAATGGAATGGAATTGAATGAAATGGAATGAATGAATGAAATGAATGAACGAATGAATGAATGGAATGGAATTGTTTGTTATGAAATGAAATGACATCATCATGACATGACTGAATGAATAAATGGATGGATGACTGAATGAATGAATGAATGAAAGGAATGAAATGAATGACTGAATGAATGGACTGGCATGGAATGGAATGGAATTGAATGAAATGGAATGAATGAATGAAATGAATGAACGAATGAATGAATGGAATGGAATTGTTTGTTATGAAATGAAATGACATCATCATGACATGACTGAATGAATAAATGGATGAATGAATGAATGAATGAATGAAATGAATGACTGAATGAATGGACTGGCATGGAATGGAATGGAATTGAATGAAATGGAATGAATGAATGAAATGAATGAACGAATGAATGAATGGAATGGAATTGTTTGTTATGAAATGAAATGACATCATCATGACATGACTGAATGAATAAATGGATGAATGAATGAATGAATGAATGAATGAAATGAATGAAATGATGAATGGACTGAATGGAATGGAATGGAATTGAATGAAATGAATGAATGAATGAAATGAATGAACGAATGAATGAATGGAATGGAATTGTTTGTTATGAAATGAAATGACGACATGACTGAATGAATAAATGGAATGAATGAATTGTTTGTTGAATGAATGGACTGGCATGGAATGGAATGGAATTGAATGAAATGGAATGATCATCATGAATGGAATGGAATTGTTTGTTATGAAATGAAATGACATCATCATGACATGACTGAATGAATAAATGGATGGATGAATGAATGAATGAATGAATGAAATGAATGACTGAATGAATGGACTGGCATGGAATGGAATGGAATTGAATGAAATGGAATGAATGAATGAAATGAATGAACGAATGAATGAATGGAATGGAATTGTTTATTATGAAATGAAATGACATCATCATGACATGACTGAATGAATAAATGGATGAATGAATGAATGAATGAAAGGAATGAAATGAATGACTGAATGAATGGACTGGCATGGAATGGAATGGAATTGAATGAAATGGAATGAATGAATGAAATGAATGAACGAATGAATGAATGGAATGGAATTGTTTGTTATGAAATGAAATGACATCATCATGACATGACTGAATGAATAAATGGATGGATGAATGAATGAATGAATGAATGAAAGGAATGAATGAATGAAATGAATGACTGAATGAATGGACTGGCATGGAATGGAATGGAATTGAATGAAATGGAATGAATGAATGAAATGAATGAACGAATGAATGAATGGAATGGAATTGTTTGTTATGAAATGAAATGACATCATCATGACATGACTGAATGAATAAATGGATGAATGAATGAATGAATGAATGAAATGAATGACTGAATGAATGGACTGGCATGGAATGGAATGGAATTGAATGAAATGGAATGAATGAATGACATGAATGAACGAATGAATGAATGGAATGGAATTGTTTGTTATGAAATGAAATGACATCATCATGACATGACTGAATGAATAAATGGATGGATGAATGAATGAATGAATGAATGAATGGCATGAATGAATGAATGACATGGATGATATGGAATGAAATGAATGTATGAATCAATGAAAGAATGAATGCAGGAATTACTGAATGAATGAATGACTGGCATAATTAATCAATTTTTCAGGTTTTGATACAGGTTTAAATCTGTAAGTTCATAAATCATGAATTCCCAGACTTCCAAACCGCCAACCCAAACCGCCGGATAAGCTCTAGTTGAAATAAGCCATTTAATTGTATGGCTTTGCTTGAACATGCCCATCAATTTGATGGTTTACTTCAGAATCTTTAGAACCTCACTTTCCCCCTGAAATTGGCCATAACTTTTCAGACACACTCATCTCAAAATTGTTGGTTCAAAAGTCACATATCCCATAACATCCCCCGTGAAATCCGATTAAAATCCCATGAGCATCCCATTAAAGTCCCATGAGCATCTCCATTGTTGCTCAAATCACCATCTTGAGGATCAAGATCCAGTAATATTCAGTAATCACCATTAAAAAGCCACTCTTTCCCGACATTTCGAGGTTTCTGATGCAGCTCACCGTACCCAGTCCCTCAGAGCGATCTGACCGATCTGAGCCGAACAGGCGACGGAGATAGGGTATCCGTACTGAATCCCTACTGGAGATTCATGTAGTACAATGAAAAGATATTGTATGTACATGATTTATTACATATACGTATACATATGGATTTATATCACATTACATTATGTATGTATTCTAATTCAACGAGCATGTAAATACCCTATATGTATACATACACATGATTGCGTATCAATATCCTAGCCAGGTTGCTTGACCTGGTGGTTGCTCAGCGGAGATAGTTAGTTAGTCTGTTGATAGTGGGTCAAGAAGTGAACAGGAACCAATGATGCCGCGAGGAATGATCCTAAAGATGAGGAATGATGATAAACGCACACACACATATATATATATATGATATGTATATATATATATATGATATGTATATATATATGATATATATATCATGATATATATATATATCTATTCACAATGTGGTAGATCCAATAATCCTACCATTTGGGGATGGTTTATACAACCCATAAAAACGGTGATTTTTGGGGGATGGTTTAGTATTGGGTTTACCAGACTATTACCAGACTGGTTCGTCAAGGCCAGATTGGATTTTTGAAGTAAATCACTGTCCATAGAATAAACCATATTGTTGAAGTATATCCATTGTTGTTGACATATTATTTGACTCTTTATTCAAATACATAGAAATCACTGTCAAATTCCATATTTCTTTCCATATAATTTGACAAATCAAAATCAAGCAACCGCAAGACGCGGATGAAACCAAGAATGAAGGTTGAGCCTTGGATTCTACTGCCTGTTTTCATTCATACATAAAGGTGAATATAAAGATATAGGTATATATGGTTTGTAAAATTTCCGCATATATATAATAATGTATATATATACAATAATATACATAATATATATATATATATAATAATATATATATAGCAATATATAAAATAATATATATATATATACATATAATAATATATATAATAATAATAATATATATATAATAATATATGTATATATACATGTATAATAATATATATATATAATCTAAATATATATGCATGTAAAATAATATATATATATATAATAATATATATATATAATAATAATATATATATACATGTATCATAATATATATATGATTATATATATATTCATATATAATCAAATATTTTTAAAATCATATATATATATATGTATTATCATATATATATAATCATATATATAATCATATACATATAATCATGTATATATATATGATCATGCACATATATATATATACTATCATATATATAATCATATATGTTTAAATAAATATATAGTCATATATATTTATACATATATATAGTAATATATAATAATAATAATAATATATATATATATAAACATATATATATATACAATCATACATATATATATACATATATATATAACCATATATATATGTAATTATATATATATATCATGTATATACATATATATGATTATATATATAATCGCATATATATATACACATGTATATATAATCATGCATATAATAATATATATAATCATATATATAACCATATATATATAATCATATATATAATGATATATATATATCATATATATATATACATGATTATATATATATATGATTATATATAATATCGCATATATATATACACATTCCAGATGATTAGTATGTATTGCATACATTTATCCCTTGTTGATTTCCATTCCACCTGGAAGCTCAGCGGGCCTCAGCTTGGCTCCGTCACATCGGATCATTCAAATTTGTTTACCGCAACAAACATCATAGCACCTTAGCACCAGAAACATATACATATATGTTAATCATATGTTTTCTTTTTTGAAACACAAACCTTTTTTTTCAACCATTTTGCATATTGCTGGTTGAGATATACTCCTAGTCATAGCCAGATGACCTGAGTGGAACGTTTTGCGGTTTCGTTTCGGAGCCGAGCGGCGAGCGAAAAGGGTGGAACTGCCGGTGATTTTTCTCGGTGATGTGGCAGAATCTTTCGCCATGGAGGAAGATCCATTCCATTCCATTTATGGATCTTTATGGATGTTTGTGGATCTTTATGGATGTTTATGGATATTTATGGCTGTTTCTGGATATTTATGGCTGTTTCTGGATATTTATGGCTGCTTGTGGATTACATATTCATATTATAACCCACCAAATCCTACTGGATCCACTGGCAAAGATGTAACACGTGTTCTTTTTGCAGAGTTTCTAAGTTTAGCCAGGGCTTATCTCCGTCACTTTGCTTGTGTGGTAGGGTTGAGGTGATAGTTACAGTAATGGGGCAGCAGTCAACACAGAAGCTATAGTATAGAGGTTTTGTGAAATTTATTGTGTGCATGTGTTTGCAAAATTATGTATATATCTATATATGTAGTATGTACTGTATGCGCACCTGCCTATGCAGATCGCCTAGATGTATGTGTGTGTGTATATATACACATCTGAATGCAAAGTACTGTGTATATGTACAATGGGTATGTAAAACAAAGTGCGTGTGGATATATTTGCAAAATCTTTCATGCAATTTTCCCGCCATACAGACACACACACACACACCTGTGTTTAACACACACGCATACACATGTATGTATGTATGTAATGTAATGTAATGTAATGTAATGTAATGTAATGTAATGAAATGTATGTATATATATATACATACATATGTAGAATGTAGTTACATGAACGCACATTACATAAAATAATATCAAACAGGTAGTTGGTCCTTCCACACATCCTGACATCCGTCATGCCTTTCCGTCTGAGGCACCCAGAGAAGACTCGCCCGGTGCTCAGGCGTTACGGTCTGGCCTGCCTGTCTTGACGGGGGACGACCTCCACGGGGGATGCTACCAGGCTCTGGTGAAATTGGAGGATGGTTTGGGGATTTCCCACGTCTGAAAGGTAAAACCCCTATAATCATCAATCAGCAGGTATTTTTTGAGCGCATCTCAAGTGCGAGAGTGGGTGGTCAGTTGCGGTATGCTGATGACTGATGTCTTCGGTATATCATTTCTTTAACACTGAGTTGGAAAGTCACAAAAATCTGTGGATAATTTTAGATTGGAATCATTGGATTTTTTCACGTCAGGCATATAACTTCCTGGAGGGTATTAGTATAAGTAGTGATTTCAGTAGAGATCGCAAACAAACTGATATATCACCTTTTTTAGTAGGATTTTTTTTTACCATTTGAATATGTCATATGTCACCACAGCGTCATATGTGCTGCGATGGCGGTTTGCACCATGGCAGGACATTCTCCAGACCCGCTCCCTTCAAGGCAGATACGGGATGGGTGTGGTGGCTCAGCTGGATCTGAAGGAGTGACACGCTTTGTATCGACGAGAAAAAACCATATTTTCCCTGGCAAAATGGATGGTTAATCCCCTGTTCCTAATATTAAACACCCCATGAATGGTCCCAAAAATGCCTAAATCCCGTACAAAACAATGATTTCTAGGCTTGTTTAGTATTAGGGGGGAAGGGATTACTAAAGACAATGATTTTTGTGGTTCCATAGTCCAGTTTTGACTATGCAGATAGTTACAGTAGACCGGTGGAGTTTCAGCCTCTGCGGAGTTTACTACTGGAAAGCAATGGAAAACCATGGATATAACCCATAATAATTAGTTCATAAAATGGATATTCCCATAGCGAACATCCTCCAAACATGAGGGTTTTTGTGGCTTCCACCTGGATTTTTTTCGCGGCGCCCGGCAAGGTGCTACGTTGGCCCACGCCGCCGCAGACACCCAAAGACTTGGACCTGGGTCCGAAGTCCCGTCAGCCACATGCGAAACAATGGGTTTGGTTGTGATGGGCTGTGGACTATCCCACGGAACATAGCTAATAAGTGCCAGATTCCAAGAACTATCCCATGTATATAATTATATATATATTATACATATTATGAATATAGTAGAACTGGTTTCTAACGCATCTTACTAAGCAGTTGCATTCCTAATCAGCCAGTAACGGTACTGTACCAGTGACAGTGGGTTTTTTCTTAAGCAGGGTCATAAACCAGATTATAAACGATTCAATCATGAGGGGTATTAACCATGAATCCTAGTCCCTTCATATCAAAATTGCATGCTAAATACTCACTATTTTTATCTTAGTTGAGATTGGATTTCTTCCTTTTAGGGGCATTGGGGGTATTCAACATTACGTAGGGGATTGGGATTATTATCATTATGATGATAACGCCAATCTGGATAAATCATGATAATTCACCAACTGCATCACCATCATTAATAATATTTTGCCATAAACACCTCCAGTTGTAGGGGATTTCTTCCTAGCCATGCTTGATTATTGCAGGGTATTAACCATTGTTTCCATGCTTGTTATCCCACTATTGCAGTGATTTTTTTTGTTGGTTATCCAATTGTATCCCCATAGCATTCCAATGATTCGCACAGAAAAATCCCATGTCAGAAATCCCGTGACCGAAGGGCCCATCGAAATCCCGTTGTGTTCCCATTGTTTTTATGGTTTTGCTGAAAACAATGTTTTGGATGAATATCCAGTAGTTAACCACCACTCTAGTTGAACAGCACTGAGTCTAGTAGGTCTCCAAGCTTGGATGAGTAAACCCTGGGGCTTCCCCAGTGATAAATGGATACTGTGTGATACAAACCACCACGAATAGTCAAACTAACTACTGCCATGAGTAAACCCAATTATATCCCATTAATTCCCAAGTAATCCCAATATTACTCCCAATTGTATCCAGTAATGAACAACCATCCCAGGAATGCCTATATATTCCCCATTATATCCCACTAAATCACCATACTTGATGCTTGAATCGCCATCGCCAGGATTAATATTTGATAAGATCTAGCAATCACCATTAAAAGTTCATAAAAATCTCATCAATTCCCACTAAGTCCCACTAAGTCCCCATAGAATCCATGACATCAACCATTACCCTCTGGTAATTTAACATAGCCATGGAAAATCACCATTTTTGATAGGTAAACCATCTATAAATGGGCCATTTTCCATGGCTATGTTAAATAACCAGAGGGTAGA